AAACAGTGATCCCTCGCTATTTCGCGGTTCGTTTATCGCGGCTTCAGTGCATCGTGGATTTTTTCAAACATATTCATAAAAAAAATAAATAAATAAAATAAAAAAAAATTTAAGTCCGCAAAAAATCCACAAACGGTCTGGGAGAAGCAGCGAAAGTCAGCAAAACAACAGCGAGTCACATGTATATGTTTACTGTATTTTGTTATTCATACACTAACCTAACCTAACTTATACATGTTTAAATCTATTAGTATACAGCATTAAGTAATGTTAATTACGACAAAATGTACTTCTACATGCATGTATACATTAAATTTGACCGTATAAATATTTTTTATATTCATACACATGTACATGTACCTATACGAGGGGGGGGGTCGCTACTTCGGGGATTTACGTTTATCGCGGGTGTTTTTGGTCCCATTAACCGCGACAAATGAGAGACAACTATATATATATATATATATATATTAGGGTGGTCCACATTTTCATGGCAAAAAAAAAAGTTTGTCGGATTCGTCGGGCCGGGTCGGAATTCTTGTCGATACTATGGTACAAGGTTCTGTGCAAAATTTCATTCCGATCTGATGATATTTTCCCGTCCCGCAAAGCGGCCAAAGTTTCCACCATAACAACTGGTCTCAATAGGGTGAACATGTGTATTTTTTTTTTTTCTTCCTTTTCTATTTTAAATTCACTCTTCTGCATCTATGTTTCAGGCGAAATTGACATTTCCTGTATGTGGCAGAGGAAGAACACGAAACATGGAAACAAGCAAGCTCACTCTGAGAGACTTAACCACTCTCAGCTTGTTTGTGCTGACGGAATGTGAAATGTTTCCACAGTTCTAAAAATACCTAAAGCAGCGAAATGGCGTGCATCACTATCAGTTCTCTTACAAAAATGTTTCTTTAAATATGCACAACAAGCAGTGGTGTTTCTACTTAGTTAGGGTTTTCATGTTCCCTTCTTTCCATCAAAAACACAAATGTTTGAAAAGTTTGACAGAACTATTGTACCTCCATACACTACATTTCAGCACTTGATGGTTATTTTCTGGATGTATCGTTACAATAAAAGCATTATAAATGGGATCAGTGAATACTCCAATGAAAATGTTTATTATGATTAAATAAGTGTATACAGTATACATCCCACTTATTTGCAGGCTGGTAAAATGTAATTCAAGCAATGTTGATGCTCTTTTCCTCGCTATCCGTTTTTGCTTTCTTGTCATTCTTTACATTCATATAAAAATGAAATGGTTAATATGTTATTTGTTGGGGTATATTAATACATCTGTGTCCTGCACTGTATGTATGTTAAATGGTTAGTAATTTTACCTCACAATAAAAATATTTCTGATATGAATAAAAGAGATAAGATAACCAATAAAAGAAAGAACAAAAGGAAGAAAAAAGAAACAAATAAAAAAAACCAAAGAACTAACTTTAATAAGGAGATGATGTATACCTGCAACAAAAGATTGTGTCGTCATTTGGAATCATAGTAAGGACCTCTTCTCAAAAACAAATCATCAACTTAATTAGAAATCTCTCACTCTCTCAAATATATACATATACACACACACACGCACGCACGCACGCACGCACGCACGCACGCACGCACGCACGCACGCACACACACACACACACACACACACACACACACTCTTCTACTTTTAATTGCTTTGCACAACCTGTGGTAATGTGGCCCAGGAGATTTGGTGCTCCATGCAAGAAATGAAAGAGAACCAAAAAAAAAACCCAAAAAACGGATTAATTATGGTTATAAAAATTTCAGAGTGTATTTGTACAGCCAAGTATATGAACGTTTAGTTTTAGAATGAAAGTTTGCTATGTGGCGCGTTAGTCACAATTGGTGAGTTATGAACTTGAGTTTAACTTCCTTCAAATGAAGACGGTCAGTCAAAAAAATAAATAAAAAATACGGATTTAAACCAATGATGATTTACGTAAACGATGAATATTTTCATGCAAACTTGCAATGCAAAACCTAATAAAGTGCAGGCATCTTACTTTATGATGCTATTTGCAACTCTGATGTTAATGGTAGGTAGCTAAATGCATGCTGGGGAGGAAAGAGAGAGCACCATACCACAGGACAAGGGGCATCCAGCCCATCCAGGCCTGGCAAGCCCGGTTCACCCTTCTCTCCTTTAAAGCCTCGGAAACCCTGTTTGTGAAATCATCCATTTAAAACCAGCTTTGTAGCTTAAATTTGTCCTCCACCGTTTGGGGACACGAAGATTCGCCCATCTGTCCATTGGGCGACTTGAAGGTTTACCTCAGCATGCGGGCAAACTGGACTGACAGGAACATAATTCATTGAGATGAGAGAGTCAGTATTCTTGCTAATAAATGTTTCTTTAAGAGAACAGAATAACTTGACTCGGAATGATGCATATGGGTCAAATGTTAAGCACATACGGTACATTTGACCGTGTTTTGCTTTGGATAAAGTCATATGCGGTTTGTGCATATGGCAGAGTGCATGCATGGGATTTGAAGACCTAATATGTGTTGAGATTGCGTGTCTTCAACTGCATGTGTTGTAAAATTCAAATAGGGGATGTTTAAACTCCCCCCAAATAAAATGATGTTCATATCAATGATTTATTCCCATCAGTCTTGTACCTTGGGAGAGAAAAGAGGCCTTAGGTTGATGAGAACCAGAGCCAAAAAGATTTTTTTTTCAGCAGTGACCCCCATTTTTTCTTTTTGGCTCTTATATGTACACAGATCACTGACATACCAACGGACATGGGGCATCTAATCCAGGTGCTCCTTGGTCTCCCTTATCCCCTTTGGCCCCCCTGTTGCCTTTCTTGCCCCTCTCTCCCTGCAAACAACAGCGTATTAAACAAGTGAGTTTAGTCCTCCTTTGTGCAAATTTGAGATTCTGCTATATTAATCTAGTTGTTATTCATTTAACATGAAAAATACATTAGTTTCATGTGTTGCTCTGTATTTAAAGGGGACATTTTCTTGACAATAATATGTTGTATGCGCCCCCACTAGTCTAAACCAGCCATCGGATTAATATTGCGTTTGTGGAATATGAACTGATGAGCAAAAACCTCCCATTTTTATCCATCTCAGGGGGCGGCCATTTTGCCACTCGCTGTTGACTGAAAAATGACATGATTGGCCGTTACCTGAGTCCTGAGCGACTGTGAGATCATTTTCAGTCGATAGCAAGTGACAAAATGGCCGCCTCTTGAGATGGATTAAAAACATGGGTGGATTTTGCTGGTTCATTCATTGTTTCACCAATGCAATATTATTCTGAATTCTGTGTTTAGATGAGTGGGGCTACATTGAACATGTTATTGGAAAAAAAAATGTTTTGGGTTGACTTCCCCTTTAAGGCAATAATAGAATTGGTGAATAAAGGGCCGATATAGTTGGGGAGTTAGGGATGGGTTATCAAAGCCAGTGCTTTGGTGAGCAAATGCCAGTTATGTATTTTCGAGGGAATGATCTGCTAAATGCTGCATGTTTCAAGATCGCAAAGGAAAATACAGTACTCTTATTTGGTCTTTGTTTGATTGTAGGTGCTCCAACTGCACAATACAAAAAAGCCCAACATAAAAGATGGTATGAAATAATCCATGAGGTCATCAAATATAAGATTTACCTGACTAAATTACATCATCTTTTTCTATTCAAACATTACATGTTAATTGTTTGTGCCAGAATTGGAATTAGCCTAATTGGATTAGACATCAGTTCACATTGCATGTTTGGTCTCTTTAGGGTGTTTAGATTGGACTGTTTTCGTTCAATATGGATACAAAAACAATTTGACATCCCTGGCATTTGAACAAAGGAGTGTAGACTTTTTATATCCAATGTACATGCTCTTTTTTGAACACCTGCTCACCAAGGTCAAGGGCTGTCCTTGTTTCAAGGTTTGCATGATGGAAGAGTACTTCTGTACTTTCTGTTTTTCATTTGATTGTTTTACGAATATCTCTGGCCTAGAGGTCAGTTTCATACAAACATTTACTGACTTAACTACTGCGTTACTTCATAGTTAATGAGTTAGACTACGGCGCACACTGATTTCCGTTGTTCCCGTCATTAAACTCACAATAAACTCAGTCATACTTCCCTTGATGGACATTCTGTGAACATACCAGGCATGTTCTCAGTTTGTTGTTTATGCGTCATGTAACATTAGCAAATCGTACACTTATTCAGCTTGTTGTTCATTTTTATTTTAAATTGCCTTTCAAGATGACATGTATGTTCTTGGTGTTGGATTTTATCAGATAAATTTCCCCCAAAAATGTGACTTCAATTCCAGTGCGACTTCTTTATGTTTTTTTCTTCTTTATTATGCATTTTATGGCTGGTGCGATTTATAATCCAGAAAACATGGTCGGCCCATGTCTTTCAAATTGCACTGTGGCGAGAGGAGTCACTTGAGTTTGGCACAGAATGCTTACATTCATCATACAAAGTGAGCATGCTGTTTCAAGTACGCTCAGTGTGTAAGCTTTGACTTACTGAATGGTAGTTCGACTTAATGGTGTGTGTGCACCTTGTAAATAAAAATCTCATCAACAGAATTTTAGAAGCATGCAATGATGGGAGAGCATCACTTGCCATTTAGGGGATATGGAAAAAGGGTCAGGGGTTGATTCATGAGCACTTGCATGGCAAATGTACAGTTAAAAAGGAATAGGCAAAAAGGAAGTGTAAGAGGAGGAGTATTAACCCAGGACTTTAATTAGAATGCAGGAGCAGGAGGAGGAGCAGGAGCCCAAGTGTTGTGAGAGGGAGAGAGGGCAACCCTTTGCGAGAAAAAGAGCCATGGGGCAAGGTGGAGGGAAGGAAAAAGGGGATAGGAAGACCTGTGGATACAAAGGAAAGATAGGACAAGAGTAAAAACAACTCCACGATTCCATAGCTTGATCTTCAACACTTTCAACTGAATGCTCACTCGTAGCTGAATTTTGAATATTCTTCATTCACCATGTGGATCAAGTATTTTCATTTGAGTTCGCTTATCCCTTGGAAGTCAGTTGAATGTGTTGAAAAAGCCGATGAAATGTGAAGAATTGATGGGAGTGGAAATATTAAACAAGGACCATGTTAATAGGAAGGAACAGCAAGATTATTTTAGCGGTAGGGTATTACAGTCAGCTTACATGTGGTGGAAAATATATAAAAAAAAGATTTTTCTCAGATTAAAAGCAGAAGTCACAAATTAATCCCCATAACATCCCGTCACTAAAGCAAATACGGCAACTGTAATGTGACATTTTAACAAAAAACATATGGCCCCCTTTGTGATTTGTTTTTTGTTTTTTTTGCATTCACCACTTTTAAATCTTCAGATAACATAAGCAACTTTAAAATCTCACAAAGAACACAATTAAATATGCAATGCAGTTTAAAAATCACGCTTTTATTGATGAAGGGGAAAACAAATCTGACCCCTTGACAAAACTAAATTGGTCTTGAATCTCCTAAATGGATAACTGCGTGTATCACAAGCATTTGTGATCACAGGTTAAGAGTCTTGAAAAGAATGTTGTCCCACTCTTTTTCACAAAATCACAAAAACAGTCGTGTTTGAGTCTTTTCAAGTATGAACAGCTCGTTTAAGGTTATACAACAGCATCTGAATTAGATTTAAATAACAATTCATGCTATTTTGATTATTTCTTAATTTATTTTGTCAACAAACTCCTCAAACCCAGCGACATTTCAACCTCTTTTACCTTCAACAAATGTAATTCATTCCTATCCTACTTTCAATCCAAAATCGACATCCTCTACAGTTCACTCACCACCTCACCCACCCCCCTCCCTTCTTACCTGCCTCAATCCCTCCAACTACTCCACCTCTCTCCAAATTCATGCCTGTCTCCATAGCTGAACTCACCAACATCATTTCAACAATGTATTCCTCCTCCTGCACACTGGATCCCATCCCATCTTCCTTCGTCAAGCACTGCTTTCCCACCATCTCTCACCTAGTACGAACATTGTCAACTCATCGCTCAACTTCTCCTATGTCCCCTTCTCACTCAAATTGGCTACTGTAACTCCCATCATCAAAAAAACCCGGACTCAACCACGACATCATGAGCAACCTTCGACCCATCTCCAAGCTCCCCTTTCTGTCCAGTCATAGAACATGTCGTTGCATCCCAAATTAAAGCCTACCTAGACAATAACCAACTCTTTGAACAATTTCAATCTGGATTCAGCACACAACACAGCACGGAAACCGCCCTCCGAAAAATCACCAATGATCTCCTCCTCTCCTCGGACTCCGGCCTACTCTCCATCCTCATCCTCCTTGACCTTACAGCTGCCTTCGACACCATCAACAATCCATCCTACTCTCTCGCCTGCAATCCCTAAACATCACGACAAAACCCTCATCTGGCTTCGCTCATTTCTCGCTGACAGGAAACAATTCATACACATCAACAACTGCTCTTCCTACACTGCCCCACTGTCCCGAGGTGTCCCCCAAGGTTCTGTGCTTGGTCCTCTTCTCTTCATCCTCTACCTTCTAACCCTCAGCCAAATCATTCGTCATCATGGTCTCCAGTTCCATTGCTATGCTGATGACGTCCAATTGTACATCTCCACCAAATTATTTACCCCAACAACCCACTCCACCCTGTCTGTCTTTCAGATATCAAATTCTAGATGCAAACAAACTTTCTCACTCTTAACTGCACTAAATCTCAACTGCTAATAATAGGTCCTCGGTCCCTCACCCAAACAGCCTCCAACTTTAACCTCACTATCGACAACTCCACGCTGTTCCCCTCCTCTCACTGTCGCAACCTTGGGTGTCCTTTTTCATAATAATCTGTCTTTCGAACAACACATGACCCAAATCACCAAAACTGCTTTTTTTCTACCTCAAAAACATTCTCGCCTCCGCCTTTCACTTTCTTTCAACGCCGCTCAAACCCTCATCCACGCCTTCATCACATCCCGCCTTGACTACTGCAATAGAATCCTCTACGGCAGGGGACCCCAACCTTTTTTGCCCCACGGACCGGTTTATGTCAGACAATATTTTCAGGGACCGGCATTTAAGGTGTGGCGGAAATAGTACAATGAAATAATATGGTATGAGCTGCATGAAAATGTGGTGTTTTCGAAATATAATAATAAACACAAGCAGTCTAATCTGGCCGCAACACTCTGATCGCTATGGTAATGTTTAATGCCTTCAAAATACGATACAACGCAAATTCAAAGTGCATGAAAATGACGACTCACCACAGCACCGAGCTTGATTTTCTGCAACCAGACGGTCCCATCTCAGGGTAATAGGAGACAATGACACCTCAAATGTGTGTTTTATGTTCAATCTACTTCGTAATTTTGTTTTAGTCGGCCAGATTAGACGCTCCTTGTGTTTATTATTATATTTCGAAAACGCCACAGTTTTCATGCAGCTCATACCATATTATTTTGTTGTATTATTTCCGTCACACCTTAAATGCCGGTCCCTGAAAATATTGTCTGACATAAACCAGTCCGAGGGGCAAAAAAGGTTGGGGACCCCTGCTCTACGGTACAACCTCCAAACTCCTCAATAAACTACAGTACATGCAGAATACCGCCGCCCGCCTTCTCACCCACACTTGCACTCGTGATCACATCACCCCCATCCTGAAAAACCTCCGCTGGCTCCCTGTTCCCCAGCATATTCAGTTTAAACTCCTCCAACTCACCTATAAAACCCTTCACAATCAGTCCCCCTCCTACCTCTCCAACCTTCTTCACCCATACACTCCTTCCTGCAAACTCTGCTCCTCAAAGACAAACCTCCTCGCCATCCCTGTGACCAGGCTCAGAACCTGGGGGGACTTCTCTGTCGCCGCCCCCACCCTCTGGAACTCTCTGCCACAACACATCCGCAACTGTACTGAGCACCAATCCTTCAAATAATTTCTTTAAAACTCACCTGTTCCGCAATGCTTTTAAAACCTTTTCTTCTCTTTTACCCATTTCTGCTTTGTTTTTCTTTTTCTAAATGTGTTTGTTTTAAATCATGTCTGCTTGGCTTTAAAGTGTACATTTTTATCCCGTGTTTTAAACTCTTGTAAAGTGTCTTTGAGTATGATGAAAAGCGCTTTCAAAATTAATTTTAAAAAATGACATTATTATTATTATTATTATTATTATTATTATTATTATTATTAACAAATCTGGTGTTAACTAGACCAGGGCCAGTGAAATTAAACTCAGCTTTCCAAATAGCTGGGTTACGATTCAACAAGGGGTGGGATTGAGTTTTTCCAGAGAGGGACAGATAGGTTTGGATTTTTTTTCGCCTTAAAAAAACAAAACAAAACAAACAAAAAAACATCTCACTTTAGAAGCTGCATTTTGTATTTGCTTAATTGTGTCTTTGTGAGACAGTAAATTTGGCTTGATAAATATGAAAAAAAAAACATCACAAAGACGGCCACTACTTTTTCACCACACTGTATCACAAAAAGACAAAATGGAATCGAACATTCCAATTTATTTTGACCACAAAAGCAAGAGAGGTACTCTCCAGGGTCATTATATCCCTTTGATGTCTTTGACGTGTTTTGATATGATCAAGTGCATCTTCTGTTCATCTTGTGTTGACATTCATTATTCATAATCATGCAGAATCAAAGCAAACTATCTGACTAATCTGTTTTTTTTCATGAATGATATTAAAGAGAGTGTCTTCATTTTGGCTAGTCAACTCTTGAATTCATATCTGCTTGTGAGGCTTTGAAGCAATCCCCAGTCAGCTAAGTGGCAGCAAAATTAGCAAGACTTGCAAAGTAATATCCATGTTAAAATCCCACCAGAGCCAGTTTCAAGAACATTTAAAAACTATAGACTATCTATAAATATCATATTTGAGGCTTAACTGAGGAGCCATAAATCCGAATCATTTTTGTGACAAAAAAATATTATTTGAAGCTGAGCATACAAGCTCCCTTGTCAAGGCTCGAAAGAACTTTTTTCATTGAAAAACAATTTTGCTAATCGGTGACTTAATTTGAGAAGAAAATTATTAATTTTGACGAGCTTTTTTCCCCCGCCCCGGTTAATATCAGGGTCCTGAAGCAAGGGTTTTATGAAACAATAAAAATATGGCAGCATAATGGGTGGGTTGAATGTAGGGCGACAGCTCTCAAATATTTCAGTATTCGCGTATCCGACAGAAAATAATGCTCTATTCAGGTGAATTACATCTCACTTTATAAAAAAAAAAAAAAAAAAAAAAAAAACAATTACCGGTGTATATTATCAACAGATTTTATTTGTGTATGTGCATAGCAACAAATTGTATTTTATGGTTGAGAAACATTTTCAGCGGCGCAATTTCAAGCAAATGTAAATTTAAATTTGCCATTTCTTGAGCCTTTTGCGCAACTCCACTTCATTTTACCATGCAACGTAATAATGCAGTAGGTTCATGGTTTTATTTATGGTGAATTGTTCTCTGTGGAATCCGCACTTTTTCTCTGCATACTGCTGGGGCAGACTAATTTATCTAGCAAAGTAGTCACATTTTTTTTTTTACCTTTTATAAAAGCAATGGCTTGATAAAAATGTACGCTCAATACAAACTGCGATGCAAAATCGCTTATTTCGAGCCTTGCTTTATAAAACGATCACACGTAGCCACTGACTGTCTTGAAACATGACTTCCAAAGACTTAATAGTGCTATAGGTGGAATTACACCACTTTGGTCTATGTGAGTATTCGAGAAGCACTTGCTCCAATAATAATCCATAATCTTTCTTACCCGATTCCCTTTGAGTCCTTGTGGTCCTACAAAGCCCTGAAAAGAGGAACAAACAATAATATATCAATTCAATTGACACAGAAACACTGAATTTGCACAAGTACATTCATTTTTTGGCGTCAAAAAATCAGTCATAGTGACTGATTTTTGTGTGTGCACGCGCGTGCGTGAGGAAGGGCATGATGTGGCTCTTTGCAGTAACTCAGTAAAAAAATTGGCTCTTCGTCTCTGACTGGTTGGCCACCCCTGCTGTATTGGATAATTTCCCATGGCACACCAGACAATATCTCGCAGTAACTCACAGATCCAAGAGCTTCAAACATGAATATCTCATCACTTGATTCCTTAGAGAACAGTGTTATGTTACACTCATCAAACTGTTCACAGTCTTGATTTTCACTTGTCATCTTTATATGTTATTTCTTGTGAGGACAGTCTTAGACCCAGTGGTATGTACTCTGAGAAATTCCACACTTTGTTCGTTTTCCATATTTATCAAGCGGATAAATGGTGACTGTAACTGGTCCTCGAGCTTGTATACTCTGGGTTTGTGACGGTAACTTTCATTGATATAGCTACCGCTAATACTTGTTTCTTTTTATCCAAGTCCGTCGCTCATGTCTGCATTTCCATTTCGTTCTTCCAATTCTCGTAGGACTACTCTTCATCGAAGACTTTGTCTTTGTCGCGCAAAACATTAAAACTCATGCTTAAATAAGTGGTCCTACCAGGTAAAGCCAGGCATTTTCAGGTATTTATAAAACCTGCTCAGATGCCCGGAGAGGGCAAAAGAGGACGTTTGGTCACCTTTGTGTAATATGATGCCTCTATATTTTGTACTATCGGGCATATTGTCAGGGGTGCTTATGGATATGTATCGCTACTACATCACACTGACGATGAAGGTCGACATTATCCATCCATTCATCCATTTTCTGAACCGCTTTATCCTCACAAGGGTCGTGGGGCATGCTGGAGTCTATCCCAGCTGTCTTCGGACAGTCGGCGGGGGGACACCCTGAACCGGTTGCCAGCCAATCGTAGGGCACACAGAGACAAACAACCATTCGTGCTCACATTCACACCTAGGGACCATTTAGAGTGTTCAATCAGCCCGCCATGCATGTTTTTGGAATGTGGGAGGAAACCGGAGTACCCCAACAAAACACACGCAGGCCCCGGGAGAACATGCAAATTCCACACAGGAAGGCCGAAGCTGGGATCCAACCCACTACCTCTGCACTGTGAGGTCGACACGCTAACCACTGGACCACCGAGCTGTGGTTGACGTTATATCATATTAAATAGTAAAAAAAAGATCGGTGCCGGTGGTGTTTTTTTTCTTCACCTGTGAGGAGCATTTCTACATAGGACTTGCAGGTGAAGCGCCAGTCATGAACAAGACAGTCATGGTAATAATGGGCCGTAAGTTGTAGACCTTTTTGGAGAGGGTCTTTGATGCGCAACCTGGTCAATTCTCAATTTGCACTGTCTCCTCAGCTTTCCATTGTGGAACATTATTCTGATGAAATTGCTTTTATTGGATTTATTAAAAAGTGAATGCAAAAACACACATTCTTTCAAAGTAGCCTGGAGATGAGCAACGCGCATGTCATGGTGATGATTTATGGATTCTCGACGCAAGTCAATTTCACAAATCGGTGTACCATATTTTCAAAATGGATCCTGATGGAATTCTCAAGCCTCATGAAAACTCCACGATCTGGAAATTAGGGCCACCTCTTTGGTGGTTACGCACATATTTTTTAGGTTACACATGGTGGTTGTGTCAGAAGCTTAGACGGGAGAATCACCAATTCTTGAAAGTGCATAAGAAACAAGTGAAGCATAGTTAACTACTGACTAAACCAGGGGTGTCAGACTCATTTTTGTCGCGGGCCACATTGTAGTTACGGTTTCCCTTGGAGGGCCGTTATGAATTTTGGGAAACCATATAAATGTTTGTCCACATATTACATGCACAGCGCACAACAAATTGATGGATAAGTAGTTTTAAAATCTGAAGTAAAAAATAATGACTTTTATTGTGGATTACGTATGACAATTAGAAATGTTGGTTTGGACTTTAGCAAGCGTCATGGAACTTCACATGCTTGATTTGCTTTCGCGGGCCACATAAATTGATGTGGCGGGCCAGATCTGGCCCCCGGGCCTTGACTTTGACACCTGTGGACTAAACGAAGGAAGAAGGAGACAAGCAAGACTTCTAAGGGTATTTAGCCCCTTGTAGAGGTGAGCCCACAAGGTTTGTGTGCCTTTTTGTTGAATGAATTGTCTTCATTCATAACTTTGTCTTTCATTAATTGTTTTGTAATGCCATTTGTATTTACAAATTTCATGTCCATGTTTGTGACCAGTTCTAATGGCTTTGTTACAGCTGCAACGATTGTCAAGGCTCTCCGTAAATAAAGCTGTATTGTTTCCATTTAGCATGGCTCCATCTAGTGGATGCATAATGCAACCGCAGCCAATATTGTAACTTCTATTCTATGTGCCTTATAATGCATTGTGCCCTATATTTGAAAACAGTTTTAAAATAGCCCATTCACTGAAGGTGCAGAAAATACAATAATTATGATTTATAGGTACAAAACCCCAAATTGATCATTGTCCATCCATCTTGGGTGTGCTGAGCCCATCTCAGACTACTTTTGTCTGAGTTTAAATTCCAGGTTTTTATGTTACAAAATGAGTTCCAATCATTGTAAAACATTTCCATAATTGGTGTGACTGTAAAATGTACAACTGAAATTGTAAAAAAAAAAAACATTTTGAAGAGGGGAAATAATGATAAACAACAGAAGAAATGTGGTTACACAAATGCGCACACCCTCTTCTTATAAGAGATGACGTGTCAGTGTTCAGCATTAACCAATCACATTCACATCCATGTTAAAAGGGAGTTCGCACGTTGGCCACCATTGAAGTTCCTCTGATTGAACCCAAACACATTTCAGATATTCGAGTAGGCTTTTCCATGCACAGTTTTTGCTTTCTAGCAGAAGCCAGGTTTTGTACTAACACTGACAGCTAATGGGAACTGTTCACAATTCCTCCTGCCTTGTCTAATGCTCTAGTTCCAGCTAAACAAAAATAGCCCTCATGATGCTCCACCACCAAGCTTCACTGTTGGAATGGTGTTCATTGGGTGAAGAGCAGTGTTTCGTTTTCTTCAAACTTTTGGAATTATGGTCACAACATTCAACCTTGGTTTCATCTATCCATCCACCCATCCATTTTCTCATCCGCTTATCCTCACGAGGATCGCGGGCATGCTGGAGCCCACTCCAGCTGTCTTTGGACAGTAAGTGGTGTACGCCCTCTGAACTGGTTTCCAGCCAATCAAAGGGCACACATACACAAACATTCACACTCAAAGTCACACTTAGGAACAATTTTGAGCGTTCCGTTAACCTGCCATGCATGTTTTTGGAATGTGGGAGGAAACCGGAGTTCCTGCAGAAAACCCTCGCAGGCACGGGGGGGAACATGCAAATTCCACACAGGAAGGCTAGAGCCGGAATTTCACCCTGCACGTCTGTACTGTGAGGTGGACGTGCTAACTGGACGTCCACTGTGCCGCCCACCCTTGGTTTCATTTATCCATAAAACATTTTCCCATATACACGTTTGGGTGATTTTATGTATTTACATACTAATGAACATACTTGATTCCATTGGGTTTTATGTGATATTCAACCCTTTCAGGGACAGCGGTTACTACAGTGGACAGCTTATCAGGTTACAGGGTGCATGAAAGGGTTAATTTGTTTATAAGGTAACTTTAATACGGTGATTAAAATCATCAACATTATAATAAAGTAACATATTGACTGTGTGTTGTAAATCTATATAACTTAATGAATTACATTTTTTTGTGTGTTTCTTCATTTCATAGAATCCATCATGAAAAAGAATAGCAGTAGGAATTAAGTAGGTAGATGAAGTAACATGTTTTTTCTGCAATTAAAAATTACTTACAGGAATGCCCTGTGGACCAATTGGTCCTGGTTGTCCAGCGTCTCCATTCTCACCCTGCAATGACATAATATTCAGTGCCACTCTTCTCCAGAATGGAAATCTCAAGTTATACTGGAAACTCACTCTCTCCCCCTTTGGTCCTGCTGGCCCTGCTACACCTGCTGGTCCTATTAGACCCTTCAAAACAGAAAAAAAAGACAATAAATATAGAGCAGCAGCTACCAACAATCAAAGACAAATCCCCGATCAGCACATCAACAAGTGTTTATAAAATGCAATGGATTTAGAAAAAAAAATCTTAAAAAAGGAAATAGATAACACATAAATTTTCCATGACACCAAGCTTGTTGAACTACTGTCCAGAGTGTTAAAAAGTAGGGAAAAAGAATCACATGTCAAGAGCTGCAGTTGTATCTGAGTAGCAGTCAGAATTCGAGAGGAAAACTTTGGGTCATTCCATGTATGCAGTTGTATTGTATGGAATAATTGAAGAACCTCTCCACATGCAGCATGGGCATCCCTACATGCTTATCGTTTCAGATATGTCATCTTTGCAATTTTGCTGGCTTAAAATCATTGGGAAAAAGACTGTTGAGTCAGGATTGAAAATTAACATCGTCAAAATCTTAATTTTGAAGCAACACTAGGTAACGCAGTAAATATCAAAAGACTATATCGGTGCTGTGTATAGCAGATCCTCTGAAACAGGGGTCCCCAACCGCCGGTCTGTGGACCGGTACCGGTCCGCCGGGCATTTGGTACCGGGCCGCACAGAAAGAACTTGCCTTAATTCAGTTTTATTTCGGAATACGAAAGATGTTTTATTTTGAAAAACTACCGGATTCTCCGTTACATCCGTCTGTGTCACGCTTGACACACGTCAAGCCACGCTTCTCCATCACGTGACTGATTACTTCAAAACAAAACGCAGAAGCTCGCAAAATGAGTAAAAAAACTGCTGGAGATCGCAAATCACGGCGGCCTTAAAAGTACGTTCGAGACAACTGGATTAAAGTTATGGCTGAATACTCTGAGATCGCCACAATAGCACTGTTGCTGTTTCCGACATCCTACCTGTGTGAGGCGGGGGGTTTCTGCAGCAACGGCGACGAAAACAAAATTACGAAGTAGACTGGACATAAACCACACACTTGAGGTGTCATTGTCTCCTTTTACCCCGAGATGGGACCGTCTGGTTGCAGAAAATCAAGCTCGGTGCTGTGGTGAGTCGTCATTAAATGCCGGTCCCTGAAAATATTGTCTGACATAAACCGGTCCGTGGGGCAAAAAAGGTTGGGGGCCCCTGCTCTAAAAGGAGAACCTCCTGAGGATGTACTCTTCATATTGTCGCTAAGTCACACAAAAAGAGTTTTTCCCGATTATTTCAAGGAGTAAACATATCAATTATTTTTTTACATGTACAGTAGGTTGGGCCTCGCTGCGTTTGCTCAACCACCTTCCCAACCATGCCTACAATGCTTTTTATTTTATTATGCATTGTTATTTTTTAATGCATTTTTATTTTTTGATGCATTTAATGAGTTTATTGTGGAACAGTATGACTGGCCCACACTGAGCCAGTACACATATATATATATATATATATATATATTCAGTATGTATGTACCGTATGTATATATGCGCCATTGTGTTGCAGCAGAAATTTAAAATTTAAATAAGACCAGTGCAGTTCTCCCAACCTAACCCTGAACAGTCCTCTCCTCACTAAAAGTTCCTGCAGCTAAAACTGAGACAATACAAGCACAAGAGGCAGGAAAACAATCCAACGAGACAAGCAGACATGGCAGACATCAAGCAAGCTTGCAAGGGGTAGAGAAGAAAGCCAAGGTGGAGGAAGGAGAGAAGGGGGGCCGGAACATGAGTTTTTGCACCACTCACCACTGGACCGGGTCTGCCGTCTAACCCATGAGCCCCCTGGATAGCGTTGTACACAGTTTAAGAGCAGAGGTGATGGGGAAGATGGAGGGAGGAAGGTGGGGTGGGGAATCAGATTGGGGAGGTGATGGGGGTGAGTGAAGCTGTGACTCAAGTGACATCAACAACACATTCAGTTGGTGACAAAAAAGAAAAAAAAGTACAATGGAAGTTTGGAGATAAGCGTGGTGAGAGTGCTTTTCAATGAGTGACTGTCAGTAACTCCTTTGACCAGTACTGTCTTTTTTTTGTTGTTGTTGTTGGTTTTTTTTTTTTTTGGATCATGAGTTTCCTTACAAAACAGTCATGGCCCAAATAATTCACAGACTTAATTTACAAAATTCTCATACTTGAAAACCTTGTAGTCTCAAATTGAATGCATGTGTAATCAGGTAGATAAATTAAAAACTGTCATTGCACTTGTCAAAATCAGGGCTGGTGGTTGAAAGGTTGCGGGCATATTGTTAAAAATTTAAGATCCAAGAGTAAGAAATCGGAGAAATCTATAAGTACAATTTCATTTTAAATAGCATCACAATGTGGGAAAAGCCCAAACAGGAATTAGATAACAACATAAATAATGGCGAACAACAACACAGGTCTAGCACGTTCTCATTTTAGTAATATCGAGTAGAGGCCTTGAGCTTTCCATGCAACATTAGAACAAAAACAAATGTGTGTGTTGAAACTAAACTCTATAATATTCCGAAATGTAGTGATTAATTTATGGTTAAAAGTTAGGTCGTGAAATCATTTCTACTCAAAATAGTGTCAAAAATTTGGGCAGGACATTGAGCACTTACAGGCAGTCCAAGATGGCCTCTGTCCCCCTTGTCACCTTTTTGACCTGTTGCTCCCTTTTCTCCCCTGAGGCCTATGCCTGGCTCTCCCTGCGAAAAATGTCCAACAATCACAGTCTTAAATATTTAGACCAATTTCACACATTGCTCAGAAACAGTAAGACACCCCCGCCACCCAAAAAAATAGCTTCTTTTTTTTTTTAAATGCTGACAAGGACAGCTGTCTCCTTCGAAAATATTGGTAAAAAAAAGTGCGATAATTTGTAATCACATCTGTACTGATAATCTGTTAACCGATTTCTTTTGAGTTTTCATTCATCATTATGCGTTGATTTTAACTCTTTGGGGGATAAAATCTTGACCTAAGGTGCTGGGTCAAATTCTCAACCCAATGCGCTGGGTATAAATTACGAAGAATAGACCCGGCCCCTTTTGGAGACAGCACTGGGTTGGGTTGAACAGTATTAGGATTGTGTGTGTGTGTGTGTGTGTGTGTGTGTGTGTGTGTGTGTGTGTGTGTGTGTGTGTGTGTGTGTGTGTGTGTGAGAAAA